TTTGAGTTTATTTTTGTGTATGGTGTTAGAAAGTGTTCTACTTTCATTCTTTTACAGGTGGTTGACCAGTTTTCCCAGCACCACTTGTTAAAGAGGTTGTCTTTTTTCCATTGTATATCCTTGCCTCCTTTGTCAAAGATAAGGTGACCATAGGTATGTGGATTTATCTCTGGGCTTTCTATTCTGTTCCATTGATCTATATTTCTGTCTTTGTGCCAGTACCATACTGTCTTGATGACTGTGGCTTTGTAGTATAGTCTGAAGTCAGGCAGATTGATTCCTCCAGTTCCATTCTTCTTTCTCAGGATTACTTTGGCCATTCGAGGTTTTTTGTATTTCCATACAAATTGTGAAATTATTCGTTCTAGTTCTGTGAAAAATACTGTTGGTAGTTTGATAGGGATTGCATTGAACACAGTGTGGTCTTTGAAACTGAAAGCCATTGGTGAGATTCTAGGGCAGATGTTTTCAGCCTCATTCAGCAGATGAGGAAATTTAGTGGATCCAGGACTCAGTGCACACTTCCAATGAATCAAATGTTCTTTGTGTTTCAGCTACAATAGGTATATTTTTTAAATATTGCAGAGTAAAGTCAGAAAGAGAAAAACACATATCTTACATAAATGCATATATGTGGAATCTAGAAAAATGGTAGAGATGAACCTATTTGCAAAGCAGAAACAGAGACATGGGCAAAGAGAACTAATGTTTGGATACCAAGAGGAAAGAAGGTGGGTGGGATGAATTGGGAGATTGGGATTGACGTCTATACCCTACTGTGTACAAAGTGGACGGTTAATGAGAACCTACTGTAAAGCACAGGGAACTCTATTTGATACTCTGTGGAGACCTAAATGGGAAGGAAACCCAAAAAAAGCGAGGTTATACATACATGTATAGCTGATTCACTTTGTTGTACAATAGAAATTAATACAACGTTAAGCAACTATACTCCAATAAAAATTTTAAAAAAAGAAGGTACAGGCTTGAAATGTGCAGAGGTGGAGGTTTATTACTTTTTCTCCCAGAGAGAAAGCACAGAAGAATAATAAAATAAGAAACTAAAAAAAAAAAAAATTGGGTTTTATATTGACAGAACCTTCATGAAAGGAGAAGAGGTGGAAGGGGAGAAAGCTGGGAGAACCCTAGCAGAATAACAAAAACTGGCTTAAGAAATAGCATGGGGAAGAGGATGATCAAATCTCACCATCCACGTCCTCCTGGGGACCAATGGGATTTGGCATCTCTCTCTTCCTCATCCATGACAGCATTGTCCTCTACTTCATCCCCCCTTCTTGCCACTCCTTCTACCTCCTACCCTGCCCACTGCCACCACAGGTATGCATGTAGGTGTGTGTGTGTAGGCCTGTGTGCATGTGCATGTGCACACAACGCACACACGCATACACATACTCACTTATCCACTCCAGACTTTGTGGTCAAAGCCCTTGGTATTTTTAAGAGGAACCAATGTATTTTTGTTGTTGTTGCTGCTTCCAAGTTTTTGATTCCTGGGACCAGCAAAGAGCCAGCAATTCATTGCCTATACTCCATCCTGGGAGCAAAGAATTTTTGGAAGCACTTCAGAAGATTCCCAAAGTTTATACTGTCCTGGAATCTTTCATCCGACAGTTGATTGCCTATTTTTCAGCCTTCTCAACATGGAGTTCTTAACATAGCCCAAGTCTTTCCAAATTCTTCAACATTTGAGTATTTTGTGCATGAAAAATGAAATTAAGAATATTTTAAATAATATGCAATGTTGGGAAGTCTGATGAGAAACAGGTGCTCTCGAATGCAGAAATACTGTAGCTATGGGAATGCTTCTGGGGGCATATATATGTATTAAAAACCCTAAAATACAACTACTAAATGGATCCAGGCATTGGACTTTTTAGACTTGATTTTAAAGAAATCATTATAGGTATGCTCAAAGGTATTTGTTCAAGGCAAGGATGCTTGCCCAAATGTTGTTAGAATAATAAGATATTATCTAACAGAATAGCAATATGATTGATTATATAAACTATGGTTTATCCATCCAATGAAATATCAAACAAATCATGCTATTAAAACGTATGCCTAGAAAAGTCAGAATAGACACAAAAATGTTTAGTGACTGTTAACGTGGTAGGCTTTTAATTTCTTCTTTATACCATTCTGAATATGCCAAAATTGCTAGAATGAGTATGTACTATCTTAATAAGAAGAAGGGCATTTGAAACAAAGAAAATGAGATGAAAGCTGCCGTGGTTATGTAGAACACTGTTATATAGAAACAATTTCCTGAATATCTCACCTGGTGGATTCAGGGGCCTTTCTGGTAACATAGAATTAACTGCCCTTATTGTCAATGATGGGCTTCCCTGGTGGCTCAGTGGTAAAGAATCCACCTGCAATGCAGGAGATACAGGTTCAATCCCTGGGTCAGAAAGATTCCCTGGAGGAGGAAATAGCAACCTGCTCCGGTATTTATGCCGGGATAATCCCACGGACAGAGAAGCCTGGCAGGCTACAGTCCATCAGGTCCCAAAAGTCAGACATGACTAAGCATACACTCATTGTCCATACACATCCCAACAGCTTTCCTTTATTTTTAAATGGGCAAGTCTCAGTGCTTATATTTATACAAGCTCTCTCCTTTATTCCTTAAAACAAACCCCTATGTAGATATTATTCTCACTTTTGCAGATGAGGAAACTGAAGCTCCAAGAGGTTAAGTAAGTATGAGATACAGGAAGGATTTGAACCCAAGTACTCCACTGGCATACTTAACCTCTAAACTATGTTGCTTTTCTTACATAGTTTTAAGCCTGAGCATCATCTTTGCTCCAGATCATCTGGAGTAAGAATAAGAGGCATGAAGGGAAAATTGTACATGCGTACTAAGTCGCTTCAGTCATGTCCGACTCTATGTGATCCTATGGACTATAGCCTGCTAGGCTCCTCTGTCCATGGGATTCTCCAGGCAAGAATACTGGAGTGGGTTGCCATTTCCTTCTCCAGGGGATCTTCTCGACACAGGAATAGAATCTGTGTCTCTTATTTCTCCTGCATCGGCAGGCGGGTTCTTTACCATTAGTGCCACCTGTGTAGAAGTTTTGCCCCAATCAATGCAAGAGTCTTTGTAATACAGATTGAACTTCACTTTGTTTTCATATATGCTCTACAACGTCTGAAAAATATATGAGCAAATTAAGTGATGCTGAAGAATGGATGTTTAAGAATAGAAGATGAAAAAATCTGAGAATATTTTCCCACTGGAAAATTTTCTCATGGGGAATGTAGCAGATATCCCTACCTTACTCTAAGCAATATGAGAATATTTGGAAATGTGTGTGAATACAGACAAAAAAAAAAAGCATAAGTCTGCTTAATTAACAAAAACATCTGGATGGTAAAAGTTTATTTTATTTATCTGTCAATCTCAAGAGGCAAAAAAAAAAAAAAAAAAAGAAAATCACTATCAAGGTTTGACAAAGCAGATAATTAACACTACAGAGTTTTAGTGAGGCTTCAAGTTCTACTGGTTTTCTCAGATGGCAGTAACACACATACACATGCCCATGTAAAGGAACAATATACACTGAGCTAACTGTACAAGAGATCTCATTGTTGGAATGTTAACCACGATTATTTTCATAGCTGTGCCATTTTGAGACCATTATGGTATATGGGAGAAGGAGGGGGAATAGGAAGAGGACAATGTGGCAGAAAGAGGCTTAATTAAGTATTCCTTTCCACCAGTAGTGAATTAAGGACCAAACACACAGTGTGGAACAGATACTAACTCATGTAACAGAGAGTGGGCAACTTAACAATGAACTGATGCAGGCTCCCTGTGGAATTTCTCTGCTATGACTCAGGTCTTTTATTTCTTCTACATCTATGTAATTCAAATTTCATCATGATCTCTGAATCTTTTGGCAGCAGGGGCTCGGAGGGGGAATTCAGAATCCAAGAGACTGACTGTGTGTGTAACACACACAACATTTTAGTATCCATGAGATAACTGATGCTTTTACAACAATAAAGATCATCAGATAGTAAGGGCTTTAATTTCTGCCTGGTCTTACTGAATCACTCTGTCAGAAGAGTTACTTTACTTTACTTAAACAATACATCTTTTATATAAAATCTAAAAATTAATGTACAATCTCAAAGTCAGATTCAGTGCCAAAATGCAGGACCTGAATCTAGTAACACATTAACTCCTTGCTGCATAGAAGTTGCACATAAGAAATACAGGCTGCACTTTTTTGTGATCCATGCAGTAAATGCTCACAAAAGTCAAGCAAACAACTAGACATCATTCAGCTATTAAAACTAACCCAACCAGTCACAACAGACTTAACCACAGAAAGCGCTGATGGTTGCATCAAAACCATGCTGGGACGAGCTAGTCCTAGAAAGGGCTGGTTGGAAGAACCAGAAGAGAAACCCTGATAGTCACAAAATCTCCACTTGTTTTTATATGGGATTGAGACTATTCTCTCCTCACATGGCTTTACCCTACACCACAGTCTTTTGAGAAAGAGGCATTTCAGGCTTCAGATGAAAATAATCATCCTTGAATGAAAAAGCTGAGAAATACTTCTCTGGAGATTTTGATCCTGGAAACGGCTTGCTAAAGGTCCTTAAGAAAAGTGCCAGGAGTCAAAAAACAAAATTGTAGAGCATTATCATGGCACTGTAAATTAACTATACTTTAATTTAAAAAAAACTGTTGAACAGTCTGAGCATGTAAACAATAAAACTGTTGACCAAGGAATTATATCCATGAATGAAGACTTATCACAAGACCTATCTGGATAATATCAGCTTATTGGGTTTTGAAGCACATGTAAACTGTACATCCTAGAAGCCCCATGCATTCTTCCCCTTTGTAGAGACTTCTAGAGTAGAAAAAAAGTTCGTGATGTTGCTTAACCAACCAGAGCACGAAGAAGATACTCAAATAACAAGCAGTTCTGAGGTTTGTTTTTGTGTCTGCTTCACTTTCACATTTTACTTTTGTGATTGGCATATGGAAAACCAAACTGAGAAATCATAATGTTGGAGTATTTTAAGGGCATGCTGTCGTAGATGTTAACAAGCTTGTTTATACAATAAGACCTCTGCAGAAAGTGCTCAGCTCGATGCCACATTCCAGAATAGCCACCAGTAGTTTCTTTTTCTAAATTGGCTATGTTTACAGGTTTCACAAATACCCCTGAAGTCTTCCCAGTGTGCTTGGCGATGATAAAATTCATGGCAATGTCATCACAGTTCTGCGTCTCATCTAACAAAGCATGGACGGCTGCAGGCTGCCTCTGAAAGAGTTCCAGGTATTTGCTGTGGAAGAACGAGGCTCCAATCAGGACCAGGGAGTAATGATCACCATTTCCAAACCCTGGTGTCTGCAGTTCAAAACCTCCATAGCTGTAGATACCAGAGGAGGTAGACACATGCTTTCTGGGAACAAATCCTACAATTTGATCAGGAAATTGCTGAAAATATAAAAAAATAATAATTCAGTGTGGCATTTCTTTAGAGCTAAGATGGTGAAAAAGGCAATGATTTATTACAGAAATAAACTGATTTGTCAGTGTTATTTTATTCCTGGCTTCTACATCTCAATTTCCTTTAATCCAGGCAACTTCATAAATCTATGTCCTGGTAAGTTTAAAGTTCAAATTCCATCATAGCCCAAATCTCTTTAAAAAATTTCTGACCTCTCAAATAGTCTCCCAGCTCACACATTATCTGATATTAATAAATTCTAGTCACCAAAGAGTCTGGTTTTCAGAGTTTACTATAAAAGAAGTTGACTATATGAACAATGCTTATTATAGGAGACTAAGAACATATGTGATTATTTTGAAAAACTGTTTTAATCTCTTAGGAATAAATAAAATTATGGATGTACATGTATAATTTTACTGCTTTTCCATGTTGATTTCAATGTTTTTGAAAGTCACTGTTGATTTTAAACAATGTTTTATCTTTATCCCTTTTCTTTTTTTAAAAAAATACACACACACATATATATACAGTTGACCGTTAAACAATGCAGGAGTTAAGGGTGCCAACTGACAGTATAATGGAAAATTCATGTATAACTTTATAGTCAGCCTTCAATATCCATGGTTCTGCATCTACAGATTCAACCAACCACACATCATGTAGTAATATGATAGGTATTTATTGAAAATATCTGAGTATAAGTGGACCTGTGTGCTTCAAGCTTGTGTTGTTCAAAGGTCAATATGTACAGATGTGTGTGTATATATATACACACACACCTATACATATATACATATATATATATATATATATATATATATATATAGTTGCTTCAGTTTTGTCTGATTCTCTCCAACCCTATGGACCATAGCCCGCTGGCTCTTTTGCCCATGGGATTTTCCCAGCAAAAATACTGGAATGGGTTGCTATTTCCTCCTCCAGGGGATCTTCCTGACCCAGGGACCAAATTGACGTCTCCTGCGTCTTCTATACTGCAGGTGCATTCTTTATCACTTAGCCACGGGGGAAGTCATATATATATAAAGAGATGTGTCAGGATCTATGAAGAAAGGATGGTATTAAAGCAATAATAGTAGGATGAGAATGACTAAAAATAAAACAAAAATCAGCAAAGAAAAGCAGTGAGTCATGGAAAAGAAATATGAACTGAAAAAGGTTTAGTTCAATCTCATAAATACCTTGAGCTTCACTCATTTACTAACAGACGCTAAACTAGGGACACACACACACACAAATCCGTCTGGATTTAATCCCATGTCAAAGAAAGCACAATCTAGGGAGAGTATGATACAGATACGTGAGCTCGGAATTACCACACTGTTGAGAAAGCTGTAAATGCAGCTAAGTAATTCTCAGGACAGCGCTGAGGACAGAGCGACAGGTGTGTTGTTGGGAGGTAAACGGGAACATCAGGGGCTTGGGAGGATAAACGCTGGGAGGCCTCAGAGATGAGGCGCCACTTACATAATCTAGGAGGGTGACGGAGATTTCACAGATGGCTAGAGCAGGAAAAGGAAAAGCACTGCAAATGGAGGTCGTGGTTAAGTGCAAAGGCACAGACATGTGTCCATTCTAATCCTGCTTGTCTCTGTGCCCCAAATCTCCACACTCCACAGGGCACCAGTGGGATCGAACTCTAGGAGTCAGATTATCTTGGGCAATGGATTGAAACTGTTCTTGCCAGTTTTGTGGATGAAACTTAAAATCATATTTATCCATCTTTAATCATGGTTTACTTGGATTGTTCTAATTAACCGTAGTTCTCGTATTTCCCCAAACCTGACATTTTCAGAAAATTGATTTTTTCACCTGAAATAGAAATCTCACAGCTGGAGTATTACATTAGAAATTTTGGCCTGGGAAGCTTTTATTTATGGGGCTGGAAAAATTGCTGATATGGAAAAGACTGTGTTGATCAGTACGCTAGGCATGAAGCTGAAAACTGAAGTTTTGAAAATGCTGGTATCTGTAGAGTACTGTGGCCACTTACCATTAATACCTAGTGTTGTCACATCTCAAGTTGCTAATCAAGGAGAGTTACTACAGTGCAAATTAGACCATTTATTGGGTAGCACAGTGTTTAATTACTGTACAGGCTTCAGAGTATTTGTATGCAATTCTGCTTTCAGGTACTTGTAGCGAAACATGTAAAAGCTGGCTACTATGAACAAATATTCAATAGGAAAAAGATGTTTTTATAGAATACCAGGCAATTAATGCCTATTTATACCAGCTGGGATTTAAGGGGGGAAAAATGTGCAACCACAATGGTGCATGTAGAATTATTATATTAATTTTTAAACAATGGTCTCAGAATTAAATTTTGTGGATGTAATCAATTATTTCTTTCAAAGGAAGCTCTATGCAGCATTAATACAGAAGTACACTTCTCATTTGAGATACAGGTCTGTGGCCTTATGGAAAAGTGTCTTGGGATTTTAGTCTTTGTTCTATACCAGAGCATTTCCTCATTGTTCTTTGGAAGGCGATTCTAGCTCTTCTCCCCAATATACCAAATATAAATCAAGTATAGATAAAAGGTACCATAACTGTCAGTTAGCTTAACTGAGCTCAGGAAATCTGATCACTTTATGACAAAGTAATCTCCTTTTTAGATAAATATTGTCTACACTAATCTGGGTAACCCCCACATTAAACCATCTTGCTCTGGTTAAACACTAGATCAGACTTAATAATGATGATTTCATAAAGCATGTAGCAACATTACCTGCCACACAGAAAAAGCGAAAACAAGGTCCTGGGCGCTAATTAGCAAGTCATCATCTACCATTAACACCGCTGAAATGAAAGAAAAAAAATTTAAATCAAACAGTTTGGAAGTAAAGACAGAAGTTGTAAGACACAGTGGTATCTGTATAGATCATTCAGATGTTGTATTTTCTGAATGAAATCAGTAAATAAAAAATGTATTCTTAAAGATTTATCTAGCAGAAAAAGTTTTTACTTGAACTATAATTGATTTTATAATTTCCAAAGGGGGTGATTATCATGTAGTTATCATCCATTATCCTAGAAACTAATGAACCTATTAATAAATAAAACCAAGGTTCTTTTAAGCATATACAAGCTCATGTAACTGCTATGAGTGGGAGGAAAAGAAGGTGGCAAAACACATCAAGCATAAGTTAAGTAGCATTTTACTAACTTCTGTGATGCAATAAGATGTAATCATAGCATGTCTTCTTTTACAATATTAATCAACCTCTTTATCACTGTTGCAAGATATATGTGATTTCTTCCCCAGGAGACTGCTTTTGATATCTGGGAAAGTGCCTCTTAAGTTTTTCAAAATGCTTTCTCATGATTAAATTTCCCTATTTTCTCCAGACAATTAAGGTAAGTGGGAGGCCCCAAAGCCACACACGAGTCCCCAGTTCTGGTTAACTGCAGCCCTGTCAGACTAAAAACCCAACTGCAACTCACCTTTGGTTTCCAGTTCAGGAAAGACCTGGAGCCGATTTCTCATCCTGTTTGTGGTCTGTGCTTTGAAGTTCACGGGGACAGGGTGAGGCCCTAGGGAGTTCCATAACTCCTCTGGTCCCTTCTCCCCAACATTGTTCCATACCACAATCACTTTGTGCAGATATGGCACTGCCTGATAATGATTTAAAAGTCTCAGTAAGAGATCTGTTCTGTTGTACGTCTGCATTATGAGAGTAAAGGAATCCTGGGTGGGCTTGCCCTGAGATTTTATTTCCCTACGCAAAGTGAGCATCTTGTCTTCTTTGATATTAGGGAGTAAAGTGGTTAAAGCCCCAACTACCAGCAGTAACACAAGGATGACCACCAAAGACAGACGAAGCAGGCGAATTCCCATCACTCTTCCTGGGAGCTTGCAGATGTGGCAACACCTGGGGTAGAAATGGAAGTAAAAATGCAGAATCTTAGCATTCTTACTAGTTACCATGGTTTTGCCTCTGCTTTTTTAAGGAGAGAAAGGTTAATCACCTTTTAGTTATTCAAGTTCAGTTCCTCCTGCCTTTTTGATTTGGCCTAAGACATCAGTCCTGGGTGTTCACTGGAAGGACTGATGCTGAAGCTGAAACTCCAATACTTTGGCCACCTGATGTGAAGAGGTGACTCATTGGAAAAGACCCTATGCTGGGAGGGATTGGGGGCAGCAGGAGAAGGGGACGACAGAGGATGAGATGGCTGAATGGCATCACCGACTCGATGAACTTGAGTTTGAGTAAACTCCGGGAGTTGGTGATGGACAGAGAGGCCTGGTGTGCTGCGATTCATGGGGTCGCAGAGTCGGGCACAACTGAGCGACTGAACTGACTGAAGACAAAAAAAGCACAGTGAACAAACCTTCCCTTCCCTGACTGCTTTGCAGTTGCAGACCAAAGAACATCTATACACAGGAAGAATTAAGCAGCATATTTTAAAATTTGCCCTCATTTCGCTACTAAAAATTTGTAACTGAGATTATTATTTTTAAATTGGATTATATTTCTCTTTTGTTGTTGTTGTTGTTTAGTCACTCAGTCGTATCTGACTCTTTTGTGATTCCATGGACTGTAGCCCACCAGGCTCCTCTGTCCCTGGGATTTCCCAGGCAAGAATACTGCAGTGGATTGCCATTTCCTTCTCCAGGAGATCTTCCCAACCCAGGGATCGAACCCACATCTACATTGGCAGGAAGATTCTTTACCACTGAGCCACCTGGGAAGCCCTATATTTCTCTTAGTAACTATTTAAATAATTAGTATATATTTCTCTTAGTAGTATACTAATTATTTAAATGGCTTCATTGAGATATCATTGATACATAAAATTATATATATTTAAGGTGTACAACTTATTCTAATATATATATACACACACACACACATAGAGATATATAAACACTTCCCTATACTAAGTTGAAACTTAACTTTTGGCAGCAAACTTGTTTCCAAATGAAATCATATGCAGAATCCTAATATATGAATCAGATAACAGTGGTAGAAGCAGCAGTAGCAAACAATTATAATGGTTTATTATTTATTAGATCCTGAACTCTGTGCTTTGCATGCCATAGTATTTGCTTATTTACTCAATAAATTAAATAATTACTGAGCACTATTTTAGGTTCTGTGCATATAGCAATGAATAAGAGAGACGATGTCTCTGCTGTTCGTAGCAGAGGAAATAGTAGGGAGAGACAGATAAAGTAAATAAACTCAAAGTTAATTTAGCATAGTGGTAATGAAGAGAACACATCAGAAGGACACCTTGTGGTTTCAGTTGGGTACTTGTAGCTAGGCCGTCATTCTGGAGGCACTGGATTCCAAATGAAATCTCACTTCACTATCCAAATGATGGGCAACTAATCTTCTGTTTTTCACTGAGGAAACTTGGCAACAGTTCCCCTGATCTTGTTTCACGTTGTGAGGTGTGCGGTGTCACCATAGAAATAGTTTTTCTCTATATAGGTCAACAAGGGCGTAGAGAGGTCATATAGACCATGCCTTTAACATCTTTTAAAGTTCACAAGAGCAGGGACTGGAGAATTCTAAAGATGGAAGGAGAACATACTCCATACTGTGCTAGTGCATTGAGCGCTGTGCAAGCAAAGAACTTCTTCCTAAGGACAAGGGAATGGTCAATGTCACTCAGTGACTCTCACTTTTCAAAAGTCCAGATTTGAAAAGCAATGTTCCCTTGTAGTAATCTTTTCAGACAGCTTTCAAGGATATTCTCTCCTGGACTTTGTCTACATCCTGTTCTGTTAAGAAAAGCAATTTTGTGTTTCCCCTTTCATCATGGCCTCACTCTAAGAAATGAATAAAATGGATTATTTTTTAGGTAACCTCAGCTTTACTATGATTATTTGTCAAGGATGGCCACTTTAAGGCTTGACAGTACAAATGTCTTCATTGTATATAACCTCTCCCTAAAACAATACATACTGTTAATGTGATAAACCAAACAGAAACCATTATAAATTAATAGTCTTGATTCAAAGACCTTAATAATCCTTCTAACGCTGAATCAAAAGCAAGTCTCATAAAACATATTTTCAGTTCTGCATAAAAATGGCTAGTTATAAGCACTCAGAGTTAAGATTCATCTGACAACTACTTTAAAGTATAACTTGATTGAGATCTTAATGTTCATTTTCTACAGCAGAGTAGGAATAACATATTCTAGAATTCATATAGCAGTGTCTCTAGTCTATAAAACAGATTATGGTAACTACCTGCCAGTTTAGTGGAGAAAGAGTAATGAAGATTCATCTGTATAGCCTACTATAAATAGACACTGTCAAAGAGAATTCATGAATGACTGTTTCACTTTTACCAATAATATACTTTTAAGTGGGAGTTTTCCTCCATACCCATCATAGAAATTTCCTCTGTCAGATAGCTTCTAATCCCCTATTTTCCTTCTATCAAAAATGTTTTGAGAGTTATGAATAATTTATATCTTTGGAAAGACAATGCAAACATTTCATGCAGTTATATAGACCAATAAAGTTATGTAAAATGTGTAGCCTGTATAGAAGAGTAAGAACTATATAGATTGCAGTGCAAGTGGCATCTCTGCACTTTGAGAACAGATGAAGTCTGGGACTTTATTGTAGAAGCACTGGAAACAGCCTTAGAACAGATTGGACAGTGATGACTTCATACAGCTATTTCGATTTCAGTGTATAGCCTTCTTCTGTTCATTGTCTAGAGAAGAATGTATCATCTAGCTCACAGCTTTGAGTTTTAAATGGGGAATATGAGAAAGAATACACCTAGATAAACTTCATCTTAGAAAGAATCAAGAATTAAAATGATTTAGCTTAAAAGTATATCTGTAAACCTCCCTGGTGGTCCAGTGGTTAAGAATCTGCCTACCAATGCAGGTGACACAGGTTCGATCCCTGGTCGGGGAAGATCCCACATGCCAGGGGGGCAACTAAGCCCACTCACCACAATTACTGAGCCTGTGCTGTAGAGACCAGAGCCACAAATACTGAAACTCGAGTACCCTAGAGCCCGTGCTCCACAACCAGAACAGCGATGGCAATGAGAAGCCCGTGCCCCACAGCTAGAGAGCAGCCCCCACTCACTGCAACTAGAGAAAGCCCCTGCACAGCACTGAAGACTCAGGGCAGCCAAAAATAATAAACAAAATTTAAAATGATATCTGTCTGTATTTTCCGAAACCCTGCTCCATTCCAAAAAGGACCTAGATCCCTGATGGCACAGTCCGCGACTCTTTCCACTGTGTTGTGGTAAATTCTGTAAGGATGCGTCATAAGTTTGTCTATGAGACTGTCACTAAGGTATGATATGTATGATAATATAAATATTAATATTGGTATGTTGATTTTTTTACAACTTTATTAACATTTATTTCACATACCATAAGCTTCACCCATATATAGTACACAGTTCAGTAGCTTTCAGTATCTACACAGAATTGTGCAACCAAATCTAATTTTATAACATTTTTAACACTCTGAAAAGAAACCCAAGACCTACTCATTAGCTGTCACCCCTCAACCCCATTTCCCCTCATTCTCTACCCCAGCATCCAGCAAACACTGATCCACTTTCATCTCCATAGTTTGCCTATTCTGGACATTTCCTAAAAAGAGATCATACAATATATGGCCTATGTGTCTGGCTTTTTTCACTTAGCATAAACGTTTTCAAGGTTCACCCATGTCATAGTATATATCCATACTTAATTCTTTTTTTTATTGCCAAATAACATTCTGTTGTACAGATATACCACAATTTGCTTGTGTTAACAGTTGCTGGACATTTGGATTGCTTCCACATTTTGCTATTATGAATACTGCTGTTACACATAATCATGTACATGTTTTTTTGTGAACATATGTTTTCATTTCTTTTGTGCATGTACCTGGGAGAGGAATGACTGGGTCATTACATCAGGATTTTTAAATATTTGAAAAGTGAGGTAGCTTTTAGAAAACCATTATTTGAAATTTTAAGAAATTTTCTTAAACGTGGACATAAGACAGAGTAGGAAAGTAAATAATACAATGAAGCAACAAATTCTCTAGTGTTTGTCTTTAAATGAATGAGGCAATCTGAATTTTCAAAGACCTGCTATTCAGTTATTTCCTACATCTTCTACCAGAGTTCCTCAGGAAGAACACTACTGAATGATGAATTCTTTACTCCAGGCTAGTTCCTTGGGATTAAAAAGCAGCAATTATCCAGACAAAAGCTGAAAACAAATAGCCAGAGCATAGCATGAACAAAGACTAGTTTAGCCAGAGCATGGCATGAATGAAGATTAGTTATGTCCTCTGACTCACGAGATAGAAAAGCAACGAGCGGCGTCACGTCATACACTGAGAAGCTGTCATTTTCATTTTAATGCCACAGATGGTGGAAGAATAGTAACTATTCTGCCATTTCACTATGAAATTTGCCTCATATTGTACAGATCGTTTTCTCCTCTGGCTCATCCTCCAAAATACGCACTTGCCAAAAAAACTGATGATTATAGCATATAAATGCTCAGAAAGGGGCCCTTCACTGCCACGAGATAAAAACAGTCCTAAGTGGAACACAGAGGCTAATTTATAACCTGGGGTTCCCTTTTGTGAACATGAAAGAATTAGAAGACATCAGTGTACACCTGACAAGCAGTTTCTGGCCAGGCTTACAGCATGCGGGCGATACACATTGTTCCAACTGAGGCCAAGGCACATGTGGCACCCAACTCCAAAAGGACTTTGGTCTCACGGCACCTAGAGCCAGCAGGCTGACCATGACTCCACACGTGGTACATGCTCTTTTCCACTACAAAACCCGTTCTCCCCACCCCCCGACTCCTACACCCTGCCCTTCTGCATCCCCTCCTCTGTGAGCGTTGCTCTCACCCCTCTCCATCCTCAGTGATCCTGGGGACGGGGAACGCGGTGCTATCAGACTTTGTTTCCAGGTATTACAGCTACTGACTGAGCCTCCTTTTTCACTCTGACTCTATTGAGGGCCCTTTCTGTCAGGCTCTGCAATTCAGAACAGTGCCTGGCTGTTTTTTGAGCAAGGTTCACAATTCTCTATGGTTGAAAAAAGCAAGGGAATCTATATTTAAACAGTCTTAAACTTCACAACGGGGTTTCCCTGGTGGCTCAGTGGTAAAGAATCCAACTGCTAAAGCAGGAGATGCGGGTTGGGAAGATTCCCTGGAGAAGGAAATGGCAACCCACTCCTGTGTTCCTGTCTGGGAAATCCCACGGACAGAGGAACCTGGTAGTCTGCAGTCCATGGGGTCACAAAGAGTCAGACACAATGACTAAATAACAACAACAAACTTCACAATGAATAAGAAATGCCTGAAATTAAAAAAAAATAAACTCAAATTAAATGCAAATTAAGATCGAGTCAAGACTTAAGAAACCATTCCTTCATAAAAGACCTGGGTTATCCCCCATCTGGGGACCAGGGCATGACATGTAGTCTAAAGCTCAGGCCACACAAATCACCTTTCTACTTTAAGTTCTGTGGCCAAAACTACTTTATAGATGTCCTAGAACTCTGATTTTTTCAAAGATATTCTTCATTAAAATGCTTTTGAACATCCCTATTTCTATGGAATTTCTTTGAGAATAAGCTGAATTGCCTTGGGAGAAAACCATCACTTATTAGATAATATCATCCTTGTAAATTCTGGTAACAATAACCAGAAGCTGTATCCTTAATCTGGCAGCATACATGGCTTAAACAAAGAGACAATAAAGTCTTGGATAGTTGAGAAATGAAAATTTAATTTTTGTTTAGAAACTGAAAAAAACTTGGAGAGACTTCAGGACAATTGGCAGAAATAGAAAACTAAGTCAGAACACCACCTAAGTCAGTTCATTATTGCTTAGAGTAAGCCTCTTCCATTAGTTTTAAGCAGCACACACTAGAATTTATTTCATTGCAAAATCCAGAATGCCAGAGATAGTACATGAAAGGTTACTGTTCTTTATGAGTCTTTTCCAGGTGCTAGAGAGTATTCTAAGAAAAGCTTTTACCTTTGTATTTCCCCCTATTCAGGAAATTCATTCTTTTCAGTGTATTTTATAAACGCCATTCAGCTTTCTCATTTTCAACCAATGATATCCTCGCCTTCCTAAATGATTTTCCCTCAGTTTTCCTTCTAAGGAACCCATCTTTTTTTTTTTTTTATGGTTCTTCTTCTTCTTTTTAAGAAACACCTTTCTTAATACCTAAGCTATATTTTTTTAAAGTCTTTATTGAATTTGTTAAAATATTGCTTCTGTTTTATGTTTTGGGTTTTTGGCCATGAGGCATGTGGGATCTTAGCTCCCTGACCAGGGATTGAACCTGTGTCCCCTGTATTGGAAGACGAAATTTTAATCACTGGACCACCAGAGAAGTCCCTAATTCCCATCTGGGAGTCTTAACTCTCATTACTTTTTTCACCAGTCCAAATAATCAAAATAAGTTATTTTGTGTTAATGATATTATTTATATAGGAATAAGAAAGGCAGGAATATGAATAGACTTAAAGAAATAAATAATAAAAGGATCCACATAGTATCACAGATTTACCTTGTGGTTTCGCTGTTTATAACCAAATGTACAGTGATCTGAACAGATGATTTAGATGCCTACAATCTGGATCTACTGTGTCATGAACTGGCTCTTAGGGTTAAAGTGATTCATCTTTTTTTATCAACAGTAGAACTGACTACAACATATATAGGATCACTGATAGCCAATCTAAGTTCTGTCATTTAGAAGGCTTAAGATTGACATTTCCTGCCCTTTTGAGTCTACAGTTCTGAAACAGAATTGCTAAAACATACTGGTAAATAGCTGCATTTACTATAATATCACATTTGAAAAATAGAAGTTGCTGCCACAGGTCACTTCTCACTGCAAGCTCTAAGGAAGAATTTCTGTATTGATCACATTAAAAAGCAAGTCCTCCTCCTGGCAGCCAGGCTAAGTGAGTCATTCCCTTACAGGTATATCAGGTTCCAATGAACTCTAAAAAACATGTGTGTGTGTGCGTGTGTGTGTGTGTGTTTGCGCACATGCTTGTTCATTTGCTAGGCAGTGTCTGATTCTTTGCGATCCCGTGGACTGTACTGGTATTTCCAAGACAAGAATACTGGAGTGGGTTGCCATTTCCTCCTACAGGGGGTCTTCCTGACCCAGCGATTGAAACCGGGTCTCCTACATTGCAGGAGGATTCTTTACCATGAGCTACCTGGGAAGCCCATAAAACACAGATAGCAGACACCAAGTACCTGTGTCTCCACTTTCCTCCCCAGTCTTGCCCTGTTATCAGAAGCAAAGGCTGCTTGTCAGTCCTGGCATTTTTGTCCCCTGCTAAGGCATCCTGTACAAATCATCAAATTGCTTCTCAATACCTCTTCAGGCAGCTACTCTCAATTAACTAGATTTGCTTTCTCATCATTGATTAAAGAGGAAATAGCATATAAATATTATGTGGAAAGTCTTCTTAAAACACTGCCTCCATCAATCCAGCCATTTGTTACTGAGGCAGAGGCCCTCTCTACCCTCAAAGTGCACAGGTCTCAATTATGCTAGATGAAAGTTTCTTCCAGTCTTGCATCTTCCTCTTGGAATTGCTAATTAACTGTAGCTATCATGATGATAATTATGATGATGATGTTTGAAGATGATCAAACTTATGGACATATATCAGGGCAGGAGAAGGAATGGCCTTATTCCTAAGAGAAACATCCACTACTTATAAGGATCCAAGGAGTCAATGCATCCTAAGAAGAAAGCCTAGAAATAGAAAAGCATTTTTAGCTCAGTACAGTGTCATGCAAAATTAGTTCAAGAAATAGGTCAAAAAGAAACCAAGTCGATCTACAAATACATTATTTTTACCATTCCAGAATACTGAAGCTTTTCATTTGAACTTCTCTCTGTTTTAGTCACAGGAAAGTGGAGGGGAGGCAAGACTGCTGGACGACAGATCCTTGGAATGTTCTACAGAATCCTCTTACTTTTTACACAATACGGTCTTCAGCAATAAACTCAGCAATAAACTTCAGCAATAAAGAGAAACAAATTTTATATGTACAAATTGTAATTTGTACAGCGCTTTAGATATCAGAACTAAAATCAATGCAATCCGAATTCAGGTGAGCTTCCTAACTTTATTAGAGGAAGGTCAGAATATCCCTGGTAGTCCACAAACAAACATTCCTAGGTGCTTACCCAGCCCAGCACTGTCAGACACTAGGGTTGATAATGAGTAAGACCTCCAATTCCTGCCCTCACAGAACTTACCAGTAGTAACAAAAGTTGTCAGACCTCTTTCCTCTGTGTGTTACCTAACATCTCAAATCTTTACAGCCACAGGAATTAAAACACATCCACTGCATTTCGTAGATGGGATAGCTGAGCCTGAGAATATTAAGCAATGTTTCCTGAGCCACAGAAAGAGTGGAGGGTCTGAACAAACTCCCACCTCCCCTGTGACTCACCTGGTATTTTCAGCGTTTTCCATGTAGTCTCTGGTTTCAGCTTTGTTCTAGTTTATAGGAATAAACTTTTTATTGACTTTATGTTATAGTCTGGAATACTATTTCAATGGATAAGATCTAAAACAGGCAATATGGTATTTTCTAACAGATCCTGGCTCAAGGAAAAACTCTTTATTTCCAAGGAAACAAAAGTACCTCTATAGGAAACATTTTTTTCTCAGATAAAAATATTGGTACTTCACCTATGATTATAGCAGCATTATTCACAAGAGCCAAAAGGTGGAAGCAACCCAATGTCCATTGACAGATGAGTGGATTAAAAAATGTGGTATAGACATACAATGAAATATTATTCAGCCTTTAAAATGAGGGAAATTCTGACACATGTTACAGCATGGATGAACCTTGAGGACATCATGCTCAGTGAAATAAGCCAGTACAAAAGGAAAAATACTATGTGATTTCACTTACATGAGGAATCTAGAATAGTCAAATTCAAAGAAACAGAAAAGCAGAAGGGTGGCTGCTGGGGACCTGGGGAACAGAGAAATGGAGAGTTGTTTAATGGTTGTTGAGTTTCAGTTTTGCAGGATGAAAAAGTTCTTGAGATTGACTGCTCAACAAAGTCAATACACTTAACACTACTGAGCTACACACTTAAAAATGGTTAAGATGGCAGATTTGTGTATTTTACAACAATTTTAAAAAAGTAAAAAGAAAATACTGGTACTTACCTCATTATGGTAAAGTTTTAATTTTTGAAAAATTTTTCCTTATGGCTTCAGTAATTCATAGGAACAGGCTCTCTTGGCACTATTAAGGGAAATCAAAGAATTTCCTGTGATGTTTTTCTCAATCAGGAGGAATTTTAAAAAAATGCTTTAATGCCATGGCCCATAGACTTTGAGTTATTTTTAGAACTTAAAACTTTCTATACTGTGTTCTAAAAATTACATGTAGGCGACTAAGTAGATGACATCCTCCTGAGGATAGCTATAGCTATCCTGTAACTAACATTGCTATATTTTTGTTTTCATCTTTCCCTTAAGTATCCAGAAACAGTAAATCCATATCATCCTGATGACCTAATGTTTACTCATTTGAAACCAGAACATATATGCCATGCAGAAACAGGCCTCCAGACGCAGCAACCTGCACTTGTATTCAATTTCTAGACTTTTAAGTGTCCGTAGTTTTATCTATCATCAAAACTCTTTTTTCACTTAAGGTTCATATGGCATTCAATTTGAAGTACTAAAAGAAAAACACAGGGTTTAAAATAGAGTTGCAGGTAAAGGTCAGGATTAATTACTTTACTGAGGAATGACAGATGACATCCTTCCTATTCCTTACTATTGCCCAAAGGGAGTCAGAACTTTGGCTGGAGATGACCTTCTGCCCCTTACTCCTCTTGGCCGTCATTTCTCACAGTCCTCAATTACAAGTCTAAGAAGTTAGAGCTTTCCCCCCTATATAGTCCACACAGTTAACCTAATACAATTAATTAGTTGATGATCTAAACAACTATATTAAGAGTTCAGGGCAGAAATTCATTCGTTAGTTTAAAAATGTCCATGAATATATCTACCTATTTTATAAATCTTATAAATTCATAATATATGAAGGAATTCAGAGCTGATTAGACTTGCAAGATACTGCATCTATAATGACCACCTGAATAGAGCTGAAGAATCATTTTTGGTTTTTCAAACTCATATTCTTTCATGATACAGTTACTGAAGGGACAAAGGGGTGGCTTAGCCTGTATCTAGACTCATCAGGTGACACTTATTCCTCCTCTCTATACCAAAAGCACCCCTTGTGAACATCTTGGCATCACATAGTTCTAAAATCCTGGACTGATTTGCCCTGTCCTCCACACCTGCTTCCTCTTCCCATAAAATCCCTCCAGGAATTTAATTATCTGCTTAGCACAGAGCTTAGCACATAGTAGACACATTAAATGATCATTGAATGAATGAAAGAAAGTAACTATAACTTTGATATGACAACATATATTGGTTAACGTATATGGGACAAACATCATTTCAAGATGACAAAACAAGCCAGACATCATTTTCCAGTCATAGAACTTCTCCTGATTCAGTGTCCAATTTATATTCCTAAATTGGAAATTTATATAAACCATTATATTTCTAAGAAATATTTACAACTTAAGTTGGTAATTATGCCATCAAAGAATGTTAAGTGGCATTGCCATTTTTTGAAAGAAGTTCTTTGCAGGAATAGCTATCTTACATTTTTGGGGGTAAGCAGTGTAGGAATTTAAGAGTTCCAGAACCAATGTAACTGAAATTAAATTTCAGTTTCTCCAACTTATTTCAAAACTATTTGAAAAATGGTGTAACAGACTTTTCCATAAACCAACTGAACAATTTTTCATCTGTAGCAATACAGTCAAAATGAAGAATTTATTTTCAAAGGCAGAATACAAAAACACAGGGTCAAATTGCAGCTGACCTTGATGAGTTAAGAGAATGCTGGAAATGAGTTGCTGAAATTTACTTATTTCCATATATACATCTGAACCACCCTCCCCTCCCAACCCCTGTCCCCAGTTACATCATATTGAAATAAAGCAGCTTTGGAGGAGAAACTCAACTGCAGTCGAAATATTTATAATATTTAAATATTAACCTAATTTGTACCCATTTAACCTTTCTCCAGCAGTGCAGTTGAGCAAAATTTAGTCTCTGGCTAATATAAAAGCTTCCTAAAAATATAAATAAATGCTACCAAGTGAAAATATTTCTATGTTTTTCTATTTAAAATAATGAAATATAGGCCAAGAAAGGCAGAGACAAAATATTCTGTCCAGAACTTAATTTCTGGAATCGAGCTGTTTTTACACAGCAGTTTTAATTAACATGAACATTTTTAAAAAGATTGTAGAATACATACATTATATTTTCAAAAATAAAAACACAGAATCACTACCCCACAAACTCATAAAGTTCCAAGAAAGAGAGTAAAACAGATATATCCTCATTGTAAAAAAATTTTTTAACCAGAGAGCATTTTGCTATTTCCTTACCTCTCGTGCAGAAAAGACTGCAGTGAGACCTAGGCAATTTATTTGCTTGAAGCTTGGTTATCATAAAACGCAAGGGGCGTCTCGCTTGCTCATTTTTTGCTTTTTCTCCAAACCCAGCAGTTTGCATTAACCCGGCGTCATTCGCTGGATTGATAACCTGGATGAAACGCTGCCCACAAAGAGAGAGCCTAAAGCTGGGGACAGAACCGGGTGGCCGCCCCTCCCTTTCAGTGATGCTCCACTTCCTGTTAGATTCAAAGGCTGTTCCCAAGAAGCTCGGTTTTGTAGTTTCTAGCTCATTTCCAAAAGCTAGTCGTTCCCCCCATTTCTCCCAACGTAACAACTTTTAATCATTCAGGTGATGGGCCACCTGACCTTACCCAAACAGCTTCCCAGAAAGACACCGAGGAGGAGTTCCGGCGACCGTAGGGCCCAGGACTGGTCCGCAGGCTCGCTTCTCCGCGCTCCGCAAGCCCTCGTGTCCCACCAGCGAGTCAATTTTCCTTGCGCTTCCCTGAAATGGACAAGAGTCGCGGCTCCGGCCTCTGGGATGACCTGGAAGTAAAGGGGACGTGTACGAACTCGAGTTTGGGGTTAACAACGGATTGAGATGGTCGGGGAATCAGTCAATGGCTTAACCAAATCTCAATTTCAACACGGTCTCGTAGGCACTCCTTTCAAAAAGAGCTCTTTTATAAACATTTAACATTCTCTCGGAAGGTATTTGCCTCCTGCGTGACGTACAGAAAGGTCAGGCGCTGTTTGGGGGCGCGGGGCTGGGTGGATTACTAGGATTTGGGTACCCATAGAGTTCACCCAGCAAAACCATCATCATTTGCGCTTCCTATCATTTGCGCTTCCTGCTGACTGGATTCTTAAGCACTGCTACCGAACAAACCGGGATTTGATGCTAATAGATACGGGCAATGGCGAAAGGGCAGGCGCAGGATGCCAGCGCATCCGGGAACAGCAGTGATAGGTAGTCGGAGTGGACGTGAGCGGGCTCTCAACCTTCCGGCCAGCCCAATCCGTGGGTGGCCACCTCAGGATTTTCTTCCTGAGTACAGGTGGCGGGACTTCACTCCAAGTCGGCCCTTTAGGCCACCTTCAGGATGCCACCTCTCTTTGGCCACTGTAAAACTAACAACTCCGCCCTCGTCGTAAGCCCCGCCCCACTGCGCAAGTCCCGCCCTCGGCCCCGCCTTCCCTCTTTCCCGTCCCAGGACGCGTTGCGCGGCCCGGGCCGGAAGTCGCCCGGTTCTCGGGTGTGTGTCTGAGTCTGTGTCTGGAAGCGGCGTGCGGCCCGCGGCCCGGGACAGGCGCTGGGGATTCCCATCTGAAGCGTCACCTGTATCACTACCATCTCCCACGGAGCCACTACGAGAGGGGAGCAGACCCGGCCCTTCGCCGGGCAGAGAAGATGTTGCCTCTGTCCATCAAGGACGATGAATACAAACCACCCAAGTTCAATCTGTTCCGCAAGATCTCAGGCTGGTTTAGGTGCGGGGAACTGTGTTTGCGGGAAGTGGGTGTCCGGCACGATGGGAGAAGGCCCAAATCTAAAGATGGCCCGAGGTCCAGGGAGGGAGCGACTGGGACACCCTCGTTCGTGTGAGGAAAGGAACGTGTGGACTGGGAGGGTCTTGAAAGAGGACCCAGCCTCCGGGTCCGGCACTCCTTTGACTTTCCCCGCTCTTCCCCACTTGTATCATGTCTAGGTCTATCCTGTCGGACAAGACGTCTCGGAACCTGTTTTTCTTCCTGTGCCTGAACCTCTCTTTCGCTTTTGTTGAACTACTCTACGGCATCTGGAGCAACTGGTAACGAAAGGGGAAAAGGGTTGGGGCGGAAGCAGGGGGTGGGGGAGACGAAGTTCTGTTTAGTGCCACGTAGCTCCTCACCCGGAGGTTCAGGTCTTGCCTTTGCCACCACCTATGCCATTCAGTTGCTTTTTCATATCCACACCCGTCTGGCACGGTTACATTTCTTCAGAGCCGAGGCCATCACGTGCAGCAGTTACGATTTAGGTCCCCGCCTCCTTCGCCAAGCACCCCCTCCCCCACCCCCGACTCCTTCAAACCAGGGTGACAGGTCCCCTCCTCAGTTTGACAGATGGAGAGAGTCTTTTGTTTTTGCACACCTTAGCTTTGCCCACTTTCTTGGAATTGGGAGAAATCCTTTTCTTCCCGTTCTGTGGGGTAGTGGTATTAGGAATTGACCATTGAAATTGTGGGAGGGAATACCTGAGATGTTATACTTAATTTGATACTAGGTCTTGAAACGAGGGAGAGGTTTATAAAGGGGATATCTGGAGGAACATGTTTCATTCTCTTTACTTTTATGCTGAATCTCTCAAGATTTTCTTCTGGTCTTGACTGCTAAAAGATCCCACATAGTTTTCTAAAAGCTTTTCTTCTCTTGAGTCGGTGGGTTTTGGTGTCACCTTTGGTTCTTTTTGTTTTTGTTTTTAACTGCTTTGGGAAGAGGTCTATCCAGTTTAACTCCGTGGAAATGCAGTAACGTTATCCAGGTTTTTGCAGTTGAATGCTTAAGGTCTTGTAAAATTGTTGAGCTAAGGAAAAGATCATCTCACTTCTAGGTGTATTGATTCTTCTTTAAATATACTTGTCTTATAATAGTCAACACTTCAAAATTTTATATAAAATTTCAGTTTTTTCTTGGATTCCTTGAAATAGATCTTGGACCCCAAATTTAAGAAGCTATGCCATCTATGCTTTATTTTCTATTAATTTAATAAACTAAATCTCTGTCCTTTAAGGTCCATTTTCAGAGAGAATTGGTGTTTTTCGGTCTTTACTGAGATTGAACAATGACACTAGGTGATACCACCACTTTTTGTGACATGTATACTTTTATATGAAAAGGTAGACTTTTAAATTCAAATGTCATCAGAACTACTCAGCAGATTATGCTGGTTATTGGTTTAGTCACCACTCAAGTGTAAAAGGCATATTGAAACATAATAAAAATCTCAATGTATGTAATAACCATTTTTAATCATTTGGGGATCAGATATATGTGTCCTGTAATATTAATACCCTTTGATATGTTGTGCATGTTGAAAGCATTATATTGTCTTAGTTTGTCTTTAAATAATCATACTTTATTATAAATATGTAATATTACATATAATATACAATATAATAAATATGTTCTATTACATATAAATATGCAATATTTATGTTTTACATTTTCCTCTTCCTAAATTATGCCATATTGTGGTGTATGTGTTGACTATTGTCAAGGCTGTATATCTTGGTTTGCCTGTGTACAGTTTTGCTATAGTTATGTTATATTACAATACATTTCACTGTGACCTTCCATTGCATAAATTACTAAGTGAGATGTCTTGTTCAAGTGATTCATATTTGAAGTACCTAAACCACCTGTCTGTGAAAAGTTAGGTGTATAGTAATTCTTTATATCTGTAGAGATCTGTTGAGGGAATCACTAAGACCATTGTTTTCTAAGCGATTAATCAGTATTCATCAGGCTATAAAGAAAACATCAATGGTGCACGGCTTGTTCTGCCTTCAGGTGGCTTGTCCTTTTGACTTTAGGCCTCTTCTCCAGTTTCCTCCCTTTCTTTGTGTTATATCTTTGCAGTCTGGCTCTGAACTACTGCCTGTCATGCCTAGATCAATTAGCAGGTACTATGTTAACCTCCACGTCCACAATCATTTATTTTCCCCCAGTGCTAATTTCTCTCCATTGATTGGGAGTACAGATGTGTTCCTGTTGAAGCCTTGGTGGCCTTAGAAGTTGCTTGGGCCTTTTCATAATCTGACTTTGTCTTACTTAGACACCACAAATTTGGAGCCCCTTTGTAGACTGATTAGCAGTTTCTTTACATGACAAAATTATCTCTGTTCCTGAAGGTTCAATTAGATTTTAAGTTCCTTGAGTAAATTCCTTACCAGAACTTGTTTTCTGTTTTTGTCATAGGCATTTCTGTGTTCCTTTGTGTTCTGTAAAAGTAGTTTCAAGATGTTATGAGATGTCAAGAGTTTTTTCCATTATGGAATTAAAAGATAAAACACACTTTCTCTTCATGAATAAAGGTTCATAGAAACATTTGACCTCATTGGAATGAATGTTAAATAGTTTTGGTTCTGATTCAGCACCTTCATTTTAAATAAGAACTTAATTATAGTTGATTTGTATTTTTGATGATGAGACTGTGTCATCAGTGGATAGCTAAGCTCTTTGTATATTTTCCCTTATTAAATATCTAGTACTTTTTACCTTTCCACTAGAATGTAAATGTTATTAAAGTGGAATCTTTTCTATCTTATTCAGGTACCTTAGTACATGGCACATAATATGTTTAATACATGTTTGCTGAATGAAAGAACAAAGGAATAATTAATGTATCGATTTAGTCTACCACTACTAAACCTGCTAACTACCCTGTTTGGGGCAAGGTTGTGGGGAAGGACATTAAGCCCCTTCTTTCTCTATTATTGGTAGCAAAATGGTAGGAATACCATATGTGATCTTTTCTTCTATGGTTCTTTTCTTTCTAGCATTTTATTTTCATTTACTTATTTATTGTTGAATAATCTTGAGGTAGTATAGTATATATAACAATGTGGTTTTGTACCATCTAGGATTAAATTCTTTCTTCAGTTTTAGAAAAACCCCAAATTAGTGATTGCCTGAGCAAAATAAAGCTTTTTTTTCCAAAATGGCTGTTACAGTTCCAGCCATCCCTAGCAGCAGAATGTCCAGAATGGAGACAAAAAGATAAAAAGTATGTACAGTGTCTTTTAAGGAGACTTATTTGGACACTAGAACACAACACTCTTCACCAGTATTTCAGTGGCTAAACCTTTATCACATTGTTCATGTCTAGTTGCAAATGTCATCTTTTTTCCAGTCAACCAGGTGTTCTGAAAGTCATGAATTTTTTACCAATGATGAAAGGAAATATGTAGGCTCAGAAAGTGGGACCTCTTCTACAGGTGGAATAGTATAAAAGGCCCAGGGAGTTTTCTACTTTCCAGAGTAGTGGAAGAGCTTAGAAGCATCAGTTACCCAAGTATTTTCTACTATACAGTGATTTTTTTCCCCCTAGTATCTTAATATAGTTTGCTTTTTTTGTTTTAATGCTCTTCTATTTTATGTTTACCTCACTGTTAGAATTTTTAATTTTCAATGATATTTTCTACCAAAGCTGTTAACAACCATTTTCCTCTTAGGCATAGAGGAAACTCATTTAACTCTGAAGATAAATGTGTTTGTATTAGCAAAGTAATTACTTGTTCAAGAAATGTTTTAAGCCCTACTAGTCACTGTTTCTGTCTTACTTCTGGATAATATGTCACAGCATATATTTGTAAAGTAATTCCTTGGTAAAGAAAATCTTCCACTAGTAACATTTTTTCTATGCCATTAAAGATGTTAAATATCTTGAATTTTTATTGGCTTTTCCCTTCTGAAAAGACATTACTTACCAGGTTACAGTGATGACTTCTTTTGCTTTTCTGTCTTTTTTTTTTAACTTTAAAAACATAGATTCCTATTCCATTTTGCTGAGAATTCTACGTTACAGGAAGGGGTTATATGGAATGTAGTGGAGTTGTGGGTTTTTCACCATAACTCTCTCTTGTGTAAGTTTAGAAACTTACACAAATATCAGGATTCTAAGGATTTTCTATTTTCTTGCTAATTAATTGATAGTAAATAGTTTCTCCCTTTCCATCTCATGGAACTCAAGTTGATGATTCCCTGTGTTCAATTTCAAGTTAATGTCTAACAGCCACTATAAATATACTGTTAGTTTAGTTACCTATAGACCTTTAAATTTTTTACTGTGGAAAATGTATGTAAAAGTAGAGAGTTCAGTGGACCTCATGTCTCCGTCACCCACCTTTAATGTTTATTAACATGTGGCCTATTTTGTTTTATCTGTTATATCTGTCACCATTGAATTGTTTTAATGCAGATACCAGTTACAGTATGATTTCTTGCATATTAGTAACTACTTCAATTGGGTCTAAAAGAAAAGAGTCCCCATTTTTACTATAATACAGTGCTATTCTTGGACTTCTGGTAGCTCAGCTGGTAAAGAATCCACCTGCAATGTAGGAGACCCCAGTTCGGTTCCTGGGTTGGAAGATCCGCTGGAGAAGAGATAGGTCACCCACCCCAGTATTCTTGGACTTCCCTAGTAGCTCAGAAGGTAAAGAATCCACCTGCACTGCGGGAGGCCTGGGTTCAATCCCTGGGTTAGGAAGATTCCCTGGAGAAGGGAATGGCTACCTGCTCCAGTATTCTGGCCTGGAGAATTCCATGGACAGAGGAGCCTGGTGGGTTACAGTCCATGGGTTCACAAAGAGTCGGACACCCTGAGTGACCTTCACTTCACTTCAGTGCTGTTCTTACATATAAAAATATATAATTTATTAATATCAAATGTCCAGTGAGTGAGTGTTCATATGTCCCTTATTGTCTTATAAGTTCTGTTTGAAGTTGGTTTTACAAATCAGAATTTAAAATCTATGGTATTTGATTGATATGTCTGTTAAGTCTTAGTTTATCGGTTCTTTCTTCCTTTGTCTTTTCCTTCAGTAGACCTTAGATAAAATCCCTTTCATAAGTTTCTTTGGCCAGATGTTCTGTTCACATGTGTTATATTTTGCTTTAGTGATCATATTTCCATTTTTATATCCTAAGAAGTTCTCCTTATTAAAATACCTGTAGAATGTGGTCACTTAAAAAAAGTTTAAAAATATATTTTAATATTTAGTGTTTAAAGATCAGAGCCAAAAACAGGTATGGTGTTTTTAGCAACCAG